AGGAATTGCACTAGGATATTGACAGGTGATAGATATTAATTACTATTGTTAAATATAAGTTTTGGTGGAACTATTTAATGGTCCTAAAATGTCTTTTTTAACTGAATTCTGAGTAATTTTTTCTCAAACTTCTCAATGGAGTATCCAGCCTGCCTTAGAATTTTTGAGATCATTACCCCTAAAGGATAAAGTTGGACTTGAGATTCTTCAGTGAAGTATAAAAGGAAACTTAGAAAAGAGTTGAGTTTAGAAGCCTGTAACAAACGGGGGGAAGCCATCTCTGGTCTGCCTGCATGATATAATGAACTCATACATGATCTTAGTGGGCTTCCTTGCTGATCCTTATGATCTTCTCTTGGGTTTGCTTTGCTGTCCTCATCTGAGTCTCCAGAGCTGCCCTCTAACTTACCTCATGACTAAAGAGATCCTTTATTTGAACTTCTTAACTCTTAACCTCACTTCCTTTTAAGATTTGGCCTTCAATTTCCACTTTGTCTAAACAGTGGTTCTTTTGTAGACTTTCCTGTCAAACTCAGACTTGGCAAGTGACTTCACAACTCAGTCAAGGGCAAAGTCCACAGTTCCCAAACTTAGTAATAAGAAACAAAGTTGAGACACAGGAATATTGCATGAAAACTGACAGGAAATGTTAGCCCAAGTAGATTGAGATCATCCGTAGGAATATTTGAGTAGAAAGAGGGCCTTTCCAATCTTGTCCAGCAGGACTCTCTTATGCAAGTTAGGCTTGGCAGCTTCACTTTGTAGCACCCAGATCCCTGCAGTGACTCTGTAGATTCCCATATAAGACTGGGGCTGGGGTACCTTATTCATTGAGTAAGCGGATGCACAAGCCAGGCTAGGGGCTTGGAGTATCTATCATAGTCAAAACAAAAGGCTAAACTCTTGCAGGAAAAGAGGAAGGAAGTGTGGGATGGACAAGTCTGGAAAAAACAAATGCATGGTTCTGGTCTTTGTTGTCCTTCCTCTGGCTGTTAGATGCCCAGGAAGAAAGGGCCCAGATGTTTCCTTTGCATATGCTGAATTCGGTAGAGTGCTCCAGTTCTTCAGAGCTTGGAGCAATTTGCACCTGAATGCAGCCATCTGAGATAAGTCCCAAGAGTTAGATTGGTTTACCTGACATCTTGGCTCCCAGTTCTTAAGAAATGAGATGATGTAAAAATAATTTGTCATCTGCTGCTCTTCAGCAAAAATATATGGGAAAAAATTATGAAGAAGAAAACACTAAAATATCAGTGTGGAATTGTGTTTCTAGTTAAACAGACAAACAAAAAACTTGTTCTCAAATGCATTATTTGTTAATGGAGCCAAATTCTGAAAAACAAATATAGCACTTATTGCATGATGTGAAGCACAAAGATAAACAAACACGATCAAACAGTTCCAACACAGCAACCAATAACCAAATAACATGTGTGTTCTAAGAAAGCGGGTACCACATGGGAGAGGGGAATGCTTTGCAGAAATAACAGGCTACTGAAAGAAGGAGGTGGTGATCCCAAGGTTAAATATTTTTAAACTAAGTTTAAACAAGTCTCCAGAATGAGTAATTTTCACTTATGAACAAGAAAGCTCTTATGTTAAGGTTCTCATGCATTACATATACTCAGAATCATATTCACCCATAGTGGAATGAGCTCATTTTGAGAACAAGATTCACCACCACTAACACTCACAAAATTTAAGCTCTTTCCAAAATAGGCATTGCATCTGGAAAGATGTAGTTGCAACTGTTAATAAGTAGGCTCAAGGACTTCTATTGTTATATAAACAACATAGAATGGTATGTACAACACTCTATGAGTTTGTTAAAAATACCACTGTTAGATTTTAATCTTCAGACCTCTATAAACTATTTAAACTTTCTGAGAAGGGGAATACAGGGAAGTATAGTGAAAACTCCAGAAAACTGTCAAATTACAAGTTTTAATCCATTTTTTTTTTGTAATTTACTAAGCCCAACATAGTTGTCTTTATAAAGTAAATAAAAACCTTACTCATGGATATCAGTCATCAGTCATGCCACAGATGTCAAGGCTGCCTCCCTGTGGATTTGTAATCTGCTAGAAAGGGGAATAGAAGGAAATAGTTTCTAAAAGTTTTCTTTTAGATCAGTAAAAGATTTTCTACATTATTCTTTAGTATTCCTATTTTATCACTCTAAATTATATAGATTTGTTATTTTTCTGCTGCTATGATAAACTATCATGACCAGAAGCAACCTATGGAAACAGTTATTTTGGGCTTATGGTTCCAGACAGATAAGAGTCCGTCATGGTGGGAAACATGGTGGCCAGTGGAGCAGGAACCTGAGAGACGGATGATGTCTTTGACATGAAGCAGAGAGAATGAACCAGAAGTGGGATGAGGCTATGGACTTTCAAAGCCCACCACAGTGTTATGCCTCCGCTAGTAAACCCACACCACTTTCCCAAACAGTATTACTAACTGGGAACTAGGTGATCAAATGCTTAAGCCTATGGAGAAGCTCACACCACCCAAAAACAGCTGGCCCATCCACAAGGTATGTGTCTTGCCACTAGTGGCTGAATTGAGATTTCTGACCAGAACATTTCTAACATATCTCGCTTCTGGCCGGAAAAGCACACAAGCCAGGACACGAATCAGTCTCTGGTGGAAACAATTGTGCATTCTTGGCCAAGGTACAAACCAGAACTGGTTGTTTTCAAAGTCTCTGCTTGCCTGATTTGCTTCCATTTCTGCACTCACCGTTATTATCTTCTTTTCTCTGGCAGAAAAGGAGATGTTCTTCTGAGTAAAAAAAAAAGACCCATTCAATGCTGGGATTTCCCCACCCACATGTTCACTTTTTTTGTTCCATAAAACCTCTTCACATCTCTGAGGCCCCCCTCCTCAAGGTGGAGATTTGAGCTAGAAAATACTTGGTGATTTTCCCCAGGCCACACTTTACGTAATATTTTTCTCACAGTTTTCTATGCTGCTTGAGTATGATAGCCTCAGACTGGACATAAAGTTATTATCCATGTGGTAGATATTGACGGATATTGGTGGTCAAAGGTACTTCCAAAGGGATTCTAGGTAATTGTGTCTCCAAGCAAGGAGCTGAGCAGACACATTCATAGAAGGAACAGAATTTATAAGAAAAGATATACTTCCAAAGGGCAAAGCAGGCCAGAGCAGAGAGTTGAGTACCTCAAATGGCCCCCACCTTGCAGTGTTGAGATTTTTATGTAACATCAGATGAGCATTGAGGTTCATTTGCATAGAGGTGACTTGGGGGCTCTTTTGCACAGTGCAGTCTTTCTAAAACATACAAGCATCATCTCTCACCAGCGTCTTAAATCTTCCCTTAGGGGGGTATGTTTTAGTTATACACTGAAGTTCCCAGAAAAGAAAAAGTTGTCCTCACCTTAACCATTCCACCTGACTGATTAAAACTTTAATGACTGTAGAGAGCTGGAAGGGAACAAATTAGTCTGTGCTTCATCTTAGTAGCTTTTTGTAACTCATCTCAGTGTGTGACCTAATATCTTCCTGACTCTAAGGTACTTTTTTTAAATGTAGAAACACACTGCTGACTTCTACCAGCTCAAAGACTAAGAGTATCTGAGACTTCTGGCAAACACCTGCCTGTTATGCAATAACCTACCCATCTGATATTTCCAACAATATATTTGTTTTCTAGTCCATAATGACATTAAGACATGATAAAAGTCATTTTTAAATGAATTTTCTAAAAAGTAATGGGCTTTTAAAAACATGAAAGTGGGATTGCATCAAGTATCTCTCCATTTAATTTGATATTGGCTGTTGGTTTGCTGTATATTGCTTTTACTAAGTTTAGGTGTGGACCTTGAATTCCTTAGCTCTCCAGTACTTTTAACATGACAGGGTGTTGTATTTTGTCAAATGCTTTTTCAGTATAGGATAAGGAATTGTCAGAGGGAAAAATGGGAGGGGGATAATGACTGGACTGTAAAAAATGATCAAGATTGAAGATTAAAAAAAAAAAACCAAAGACCATAAAAGTAATTTATTTTCGCCGGGCGGTGGTGGTGCACGCCTTTAATCCCAGCACTTGGGAGGCAGAGGCAGGCGGATTTCTGAGTTCGAGGCCAGCCTGGTCTACAGAGTGAGTTCCAGGACAGCCAGGGCTATACAGAGAAACCCTGTCTCGAAAAACCAAAAAAAAAAAAAAAAAAAGTAATTTATTTTCATTGAGTGCATTCTGATCACAATTTCCCTCCTTATTTACATCCAAGATCTTCCTTACCCTTCCACCTGTGCACCAGAACAAAACAAGACAAACTGACAAATAGAAAGGTAGAAAGGGAGGGGGCACAAGAAACACATGCACAAGGACAGACACATGCACACACCCATATAAGCACAAAATGGAAAACCAGAGTAGACAGCCAAAAGACAAGTAAGGTGAAAATGCCTAAAGCATTATGGAATAAAACATTGCTAACAATACCACTGAGTTCTTGTGTTAGCCATCTGCTGCTGGGCAGGGGACCTCCCTTGAATGTTATTTGTATACTCAGAGAGATTCCATTGGAAAACACTTGTGTTCCTTTATGAGCTGTTGTCTGTTGGAGAAAGCTTTTGGATTAGGGATGCAGGCTCATTACCACTTCCCTCTTAGCCCTGAAACCCCACTAATGGGTTTTTAATAACTGGTGATATGTTCTGCTTCAACATTAGTGAGTAGAGACTGCATTGCTTTTTCAATTATCCTTTTTGATTAATATTTGTTTTGTATTTTTTGCCAATTTCATGCATTCAAGCAATGCATTTTAATAATATCTACCCCTATTCCTTTCTATTCTCCCCAAGACTGCCCCCAACATGGTCCCTAATACTTTAAGCCTACTCTCTTTCTTCTCTCTTTTGTCCAGTTGATGTTTTCCCTATATGTACATGAGTGTAAAGACATCTAATAGAGGATGGACAATCTACTGGTGGCTTCATTCCCAATGAGAAATAATTCTGCTTACCGCAGCTGGCATCAACAACCAATGTTTCCTTAGCAGTAGAGCTTTGTAAGCTTCTGTCCTGTCCATGTTTGAATGCTAATGGGCTTGGTCTTGTGCTGGTCTTGTATAGGAAACCACAGTTGCTATGAATTTGTAACTGTAATGGCCATGTCCTGTCCAGACAACATTTCACAGTTCTCCTTGTCATTCTCCAGCTCCTGGATTCTTCCATCCCATAGTTCACAATGTGTTCTGAGCCTTGAGTTGGGTGGAGAAGGGATGTAAAATTTCCAGTTATGGCTAAACATCTAAAAGTCATTTATCTTCAGCATTTTTATCAGTTGGAATATCTGCATTAACTGCTTCCCACTGCAAAATGAAGCTTCTCTGACCAACATTAAGAACAGCCCTACTCTGTAGAAATAAACATAAATATTTAGAAGGCAGTTTTCACAGCATGAACATTTAGCAAAACCACAGTAATAGAGCCTGTGACCTGAGTCATGGCCTTTTGCCCAGGTTTACAGGCAAGAACTTCTTTCTATAAAGCAAGTCTAAAATTCAGTTAAGAAAGCAGTTGGTTAACCCCGTAACAGTCATGCCACTATTACATTATTACACTTTACTGCAGGCAGGTTAGTATTGTTAGGAGTAGGTACCCTTCTTACTATACAGAGTTTCCTGAGCCTTCTGGGAGCCAGCAGTTGTCTCAAATAAATAAATAAATAAATAAATAAATAAATAAATAATAAGGAAAACCCTTTATAGAGTAAAATAATGGATGAATAAAACAGCAGGGTGCCACAATAATCTATAGAAATCTTTGACTAGTTTGGTAACTGTGGTAGCAGATTCCTGCTGACCTGGTTGTGACTATTGGTAGGCTTAGGGTTCTTCCTCTTTCCCACCAGGTTTGATCCACTCATCCCCCAATTTTGCTATTTTTCACTTATTTTTATGCCTTTGAGATCCACTGGCGTCAGACTGGTAGGAGAAGGATATTCCTCATGCTTTAGGCTTTCTGTTTTATAGGTAGCCTCTAAGACTCAATCTATAACTTCAGCAGAGGGTAAACATTCCTGTCTCAGCACTCAAGGCTCAACATTTCAGCTACAGAAGAGCAATGTGAACTGCTGTGAATCATGAAGCCATCTATTCCCTTTTAGTAAAATGTTGAGCATCACACACAAGATAGGCAACTAAATATTTTTGTATAATTTTCTTATTAATGCTATTATTTTAGAAATTATACTTTAAGTTATTAAATATGTACCAAAAGTACAAACTGGAGAAAGGATAGCCTTTTTAAAAAAACATTAATGAGAAAACTAGATATCCAGTTTTAGCAGCATTGAAGATATTCTAAAGAGAGACTTTTGTATTCCTACCTTTGGCTCTCAGAATATTTAAGTAGCAGTCCTGTTGTTTTGTGACTTATCCTGGGGATAGGTAAAGAAATATCCAGTTATCCTAGAAAGGGCATCCATCAATTACAGACCAATGAAATGACTTCACTTCAATCTACCGTTGTAAGTCAGGGAGTTTCCTGGAGTTACTTACAGGAACGTGGGTGACTTGACAAAAGTCCAGCATGGATGTTGACACATGAAAGCTGTATCCTTGGAGTTCTCTGCAAGATTTACAGGCATCTGGGCTGATGGGAGAATCTCCTCTTGAGCAGTTGTTACTGCTTTTATTACCTGGAGGAGGGGCCTTAAGAATCTTCAAAGTTTCAGCTTTCTGAATATAATAATCTACTTCTTGAGTTTGGTGAGCCTCTCCCACTCTTTCCAGGAAGGAATGCTTCTATTTATAGGAAGTCACTAAACAGTACAACAATATCCAGTATTCTGCCAGGAGTAGGCAAAGGCTGGGATGAAGCCTGATGCTAGACAGGGGAAATTTTCACCTATTTCTTTTAACAACTATTTAGACTACCTTGAAAAAGAGACTGAAACCAGATACTGAAAGATAGCTGATGGTTGTGACCAGAACTGCTTAGTTATACAGATACCTAGCCTTCTATTTATCCCCGAATCTCATGTCATTATCTGGAAAATGGAATTAGGGACTCGTTGGACCTCTTTGTTTTGTTTCCTGATTAATGAATCTCCTTTCTTTTCTCTTCACCCTTGTCTGTTTAATTGGCCTATTGAGAACAGATGGCCAAAGCTGGTTTGTTAGAGCTGTCCAGAGCTCAGGTTCTGACCACTCAAGACAGCATATGTAAAAGAATAAAACTAGATGACTGGATGTCTCCCACCCCCCCCCCAAAAAAGTCAATTCAAAATAGATCTCAATACCTGAAACTTTGAAACAGCTAGTGGAAAGTATAAAGAAAATAATTAAAAGATAATAAATAGTCTGAGCAATTATTTCCCCAATAGGACTCTATGCCCACCAGAAACAAAAGCAAGATTTAACAAATAAAATTTACATCTAATTAAAAATTAGAAGGCAGCTTACAGAATGGGAAAATATCTTTTCCAACTATTCATCTGACAGATTAATAACTAGAATATATGAGAGATTCAAAATATGTGATAACAAAAGCCAAGTAATTAAATTAAAGATGGGCAGATGATCTGAATAGATGCTCCCTAAGATAAGAAAAACAAATGACAAATAAATATGTGAAAAATATTCACAGTTTTATTCCATCTGGAAAATGCAGATCACAGCTATAATGAGATTCCACCTCATCCCAGCATGAATGTGTGCTAACAAAAGAATAAAAAAAATAACATTGGCAAAGATGTGAAGCAAAAAGGAACTCTCATATACTGTTGGGGGGAAAGTAATTAGTATAGTCACTATGGAGAAGAATTCTTTACAACTGAAAAATTGAAACACCATGAGATCCAGATGCCAATTTCCTGGAGGTAAATTTATCTATGTATATTTATGTATCTTTCATCTGTCTATGTAAGCAGTCTATCTGATTTCTTTATTATCTATTCATTTCTATGTATCTATCTGTATATCTGTCTCTGTATGTATGTATGTATGTATGTATGTATGTATGTATCTATCTATCTATCTATCCATCTAACGTATCTCTATTACCTATGCATCTATCTATCTCATTTATTTTTCTATTATTTATCTACTTCTCTTATATATCTACACATCTGTCTCTTATTATCTACCTGTCTATGTATTTATCTAATGCTCAAGTTTATTTCAGTACTATTCACAAGACTGAGACACAGAATTAACCTAGCTGTCCATCAATGGATGAATGTATAAACAAAATAAGCCATGAATACATATTGAAGTATCACCCATTCTAAAAAAAAAAAAAAAAAAAAAAACAAAAAAATAGTAAAACTGTGTTATTTGCAGGATGCTGGCTGGAACTGGAGGACAACACTCTAAGCAATATAAGTAAAGTAAGACACAAAAAATCAAGTATGATAAGATTTTTTTCTCATGGACAAGCTGATATTTTTAAGAACTGAAAGCATAAGCATGAGTCCAAGGACTAGATAGTGGGCTACGACTAAGCGGGTATTAAAGGAGGCTGAGATGCAGTAGAATAAGCATGGGTAGACAACATCAGTGTACGGCATATGCAGGTATGAGGACGTAGCAGTGAATCCCATTTGTTTCACAACTAACATATGTAAATAGTTATAGCTTTAAAATTCCAGCTTAACTTAGTAGAGAAATTACCAAAAATGAAGAAAAGTAAATGTTTGGATGGGATAATAACAACAAAAATAAGAGTGGGAATCAAAATAAAGAAGTTAATGTTACCTACTTAGCATTTACTGTACTTGCAAGGATGGCCCGAAAATGAATCCTGCCATGTTGTGGCAGAATGATAGAATATGCATCCATAAGAAAATCATAACTTGCTGGGTAGTGGTAGCACACGCCTTTAATCCCAGCACTTGGGGAGGCAGAGGCAGGTGGATTTCTGAGTTCAAGGCCAGCCTGGTCTACAGAGTGAGTTCCAGGACAGCCAGGGCTACAAAGAGAAACCCTGTCTCGAAAAAAAAAAAAAAAAGACAGAAAAGAAAATCTTATCTCCTTATAGCCTAAACAAGTCCATTGAGAAAGTTTGCAAATTAAATATGGTTTCTCCACCAAGGAAGAAGCAAAAAAAAAAAAAAAATAGAACTATCCGGGAATTTTTATGTATTTATAAGTAATACAGAATAATAGTTATATTTATTTATGAGCTACAATATGATAACAACCAAACTTAGGTAATGAGTACTCTGATCTCCATAAATATTTATCATTTCTTTGTTTGGGTACCATCCAATTCATGTCTTTTAGTTCTTTTCTTTATTATTTGTTGGGTTAGGTTTGGCTTGTATGAGACAAGATCTTAGTTCGTTGTACATGGCATTGTGTTAAATAAGAGCATTTCAAACAAGTATATATCACATACTATTCATTTCAAACAAGTATATATCACATACTATTCTTACACTTGAATGTGGCCAGCTGGTTAGCATCTAGCATATTCTGCTCCACTCTCCACACCCCTGTCCTCCCCAACTTATCCTCCCAGTAGTCTCCTTTGTTCAAAGAAAAATTTTCATTTCTAGTTTCATATCATACAAACATGCATGATTGAATATATATGCATATATATATTTAGTCTTTCTGAAACATTTTAATTTAATGTCCATCTTCTACAAATAAGTTCATACTTAATATTAGAAAAATATCAGTTGTGTACACGTACCACATTGTCCCATTTTTTTATTTATTGCTCTCCCTTTGAACATCTAACTGGCTCTCTACCTTAGCTCCTGTGACTAGTGCTACAGTAACTGTAGATGTGCAAGTATCTCAATGATGAGTTGGCCTGACGACATTTGAGTAAACAGTCAGGAATGGTACATCTGTGCCATGTGATAGTTCTAGTCTTGGTTTTTTGAAGAAACTTTATACTGATTTCTATAGTGCCTAGACTGCCAGCATTGTAAAAGGGCTCTTTTCTGTTCATACCCTCAGAAGTATTTGTTTTTATGTATTTTTTTAATGACTGAGATGAGACGGAATCTCAATGTAGCTTTAATTTTGCTGATGAGTGGTGGGGGTTGAACAATTTTCACGTGTTTAATGGCCATTGGTATTTCTTCTTTTGGAAACTATGTTTATTTCTTTAGGACATCCATTGGTTTGTTGTATCTGATAGAATGGATGTGTCCTCTACTTGTTTCTTACTCATTTTCTTTGTTTTGTTCATTTTATGCTAGTCTTCTTTCCTTGGGCTTAGGCTTCACTCTCCATTAAAGAGAGGAAAAGCAGACACCAATAGTGAAAATAATGACTTGACAACAAGCTTGTTACTGGAATAAAGTTTTCTGGGTTCAGTAAATTTGGAAACCAGAGTGAATATAGATAATATAAATATAAAGATTTTTTTAAAGCCATGCTCATTAATAATTAAGAAGTAATAAAGGAAGTAATTGGAAAATGGAAATGGAGGAGTAAACTTTGGATTAGAAGAAAATGTATGAACTGGAGGCTTGACAAGTAATAGAGAAAAACTTTTTAAAAAGCCAATTAAAATACAAAAGTTAAAATTAAGAAAATTTAAAATATGAATTGAAGGAGAATAAACTATATCATCAACCAACGTTTCCTCTTAGTTGGGGTAAATGTGTTTTCTCCTCGGAAATTTTTGGTAGCTGACTCTACAAAAAAAGTAGAAGATGGCTAATAGACTTTATATAATCAAAATAAGCCACACCAAAATGCCTCTCCTATTGGTTTAGGTCCTACAAAAGAACAGGCTAGCCAGAGTAGTTTCTAGGTTCTCAGCATGGGTAGCCCATGACAATCTTATCCTCCTTTTCCTTCAGCCTCCTTTCTTGGAAAGAACAGAAGAAAAGAAGCAGAGATGGAATCCAGTGACATTGGGGTAGGAATTGGAGAAAGGTACATCAAGATTAACATGGAAGAAGTCAGCTCACACAGGAAGACTAGAAAGAAAGCCTTCCCTGCCACCCCCTAACAGAACATGCTTCGTAAAACGCAAAAGCAGGATCCACAGAAAATTGTCCATCTCACTAGCAGATGATTTTGATATCTTTCCTTGTGTAGCTAGCCCACATCCATTATCAAGAGTGTCTCTGCTTTGCTTAAAATGCTGTCTCTGTTTCTATTTCAAGCCTCACTTAAAAGGAAGACTTTTCGACATCTTCCTACCAGTGACTTTCGGGGTTTTCAACTAACTTGTACCATGTTTATTTCCTACACACTAATTAAAATTGTCTTCAGGCTTTCTTCTGAGTCTGCTTCTAATGTCTTATATTAATTAGACAAAGAACTCCACAAGGGAACCTCAGATTCCTAGAGACCTAGACCCCTCTAAGCCTGTGTTTCATAGACCTCAAATAGCTATCCCATCTAAAGGTCTAAAGGGTCTCTTGTTTTCACTCTCCTTTGCTCCCCCTCCTCTCTGTCTCTCATTTTGCTGCTTGAGCCCCCTTCCTCTATTTTGTCTGTGACCACAAACTCAGGGTAGGGTGGGGCAGGAGGATTCTTTAGTCTTTTTTTAGTCTCCACCCTACTCTTTGGTCATAATCAAGTGACTAGGAGGACATGAGGAAAACGCTCTTTGTTTCTAGCCTGCTGTCTTTATTGAGAAGGACACACACTAGAGTTTGCATAATCACAGCCAAATAGCCACAGGAT